TGATCATAAAAAAACATATCTCTTTTTATTAAACGTAGAAAAAAGAGGACATCAGTACATCTTTTTGTTACATGTAACAAAAAGAGATGAAGTAGCTACACACGTATGTGAATATGAATTAGAAATATATTTTATAATGTACACATCATAATGCACATAAAATAAAATTCTAATATTCACTAATGTGTCTATGACAGTGTACATTGACACATGGGCCTAAGCATTTTTCCTGTTATACAATGTCATTTTAGGTCAGGATGCGATATGTATTAGCTATACATAGATATATTGTATTACACATATAATATACATAGCTATACCATTTTTTGCTATGTTTAATAAAAATATGTAGAAGTTAATCATGTTAAAATATTAGTGATGTACTTAAATATAATACACACATAGGCAATATTGTACAATATTGCATATATATACTATAATGTGTGAATATACATACGTTGCAGATAGAAGTTATCAATACTAAGCTGTTTATGCATTCCCTGTGTTTAAATGTGCAATATTAAAATTGTATACATATATAAAAAAAAAATATATATATATACACATAAAATGAGGATTTATCAGAGGATTCATAATTTGATTTTTTTTTAAGATGTTACGTCTGATCATCGGCGTTTGATTATCGTTAGCTTTGATTTATGTTAGTTGTATGTATAATATATTCTGATATTGAAAATATAAAAGCATATATCACTAATATTTGATCATAAAAAAACATATCTCTTTTTATTAAACGTAGAAAAAAGAGGACATCAGTACATCTTTTTGTTACACGTAACAAAAAGAGATGAAGTAGCTACACACGTATGTGAATATGAATTAGAAATATATTTTATAATGTACACATCATAATGCACATAAAATAAAATTCTAATATTCACTAATGTGTCTATATATTATATCTGCATGAAAAACTAAGTATGAGTAACTTCTATCTCTTTTTATTATAGGCCTTCTATAATAACACATTAGTTACAAATCAGAAATCAGAAGCTAAAAATTGATCAATCACAGCTAATTTTTAGCGATTTTTGACTTCTTATTTATGGCTGATTTATGGCTTATAATTGTAAAAGGCCCATTAAACATAATAAAAAGAGATGGAATAGCTACATATGTATGTGCAATGTATTTACGTACTGACAATACATGTTACATCCTAAGTTAAAATGACATTGGGAATAAAGGAAAAAGTGCTATTACATTACACGTGTATTTCAAATACATGGTTGCATCCGAAAATATATCTAAGTCACAGTCAGTGTTCATTTAGTAAAAATATACTTATTGTAACTTGCTGTTAGTCAACGTACATTGACCTGTAAGTGTATATATTTGCTGTCAGATGCTAAAACACTTTGAATATGATATACAGGGTCCGGCAAAATGATCTCCCACATTTTAATCTTTAATAAAAACGCCATTGTAAATGCTATTTGGATTTTATTTTTATTAACTGAAAATTTATGCTATGCCATTTGTTTTTATTGAGTTTTGAAAATTACAGAGTCCAAATGGCGACCATTTTTTTCGATACACGGCTAAGAGATCGTTCAACTGCTTCTCTTACAGCTGCAACATTTTCAGGTGTCCGAACACTTCTGGGTCTACCAGTTGATTTTCTTTTTAAAGCTGAACCTGTAGCTCTAAAATTTGAAACCCACAACAGTATTGTTTTGCGATCTGGAACTGGAGCATGTCTACCAAGCGCGAAGTGAATACGAAAAGTTCTTTGCGTCGTAATCACAGATTCGTTACTTTTCATAAATGTTTCGATAACGAAGGCATGATGCTCGCCCGTCCAATTCATTAACTAACTTAATTTTTATAATGTTGCTTTATAGTGTCAAATAACTCTATTAGAGCTGAAGACAATTGTGCATATATGGAAAAACTTTTGAAAAATTATTGCGTTACATATTTGCATCTTGCAAAACAGCATAAAGTAAATATGCATATAATTCAATAAAAATGTTTTATAATGAAGTGAAAAAATTCTGGAATATCTTATATACATTCATTTGTAAGTATTGTGACTATATTCTCGACCGACGGTACTTCGTCGCTTTTATGTTATCGTAATTCGACAATCAGTACTTTTATCTCGATGTTCTACGTCGGTAGCTTTGCATTGATTATCGCAAATTTTCTCTAACTCAAGTTAGGCGCCAGGCACGAGTAAGCATGCTACTCTTCTAAATTTTCAACAATTATTCTCAATATTTCTTAGCTGCGACGGATGATAATCGACAGCTCAGTCTCGCACGGATAGTTATTTGGAGCGGGAACAGATCGGAAGGCGAGAGAGAGTATAAGAATTATTACTGATTAATAATGAAAGAATAACAGACATATTTTTTACTTGGACGAAGACAATTACAATAATCTTATTGACTATGTAATTTACGGTCGTTAGAATGATTCGTCTCGGTTGTAATATGAACTCGCTGTAATTGAAAATTATCGAGTCTCGTAACACGAAATAACAAAAAGAATGTATTGCGTCAGAAAGAACGATACCTGTTCTTTCTATATACTGGACGGCAGATGGTAGTGCTCGAATTGCGAGCACGATATACTTTGTATTCCCATGTGCCCATTTTGCATTCATTGAAAAAATTATTAAATATTCCGTGGAAGAGTGTGACGTGATCTAAAGACTATGAAAAAAACATGAAAAATCACGAGCGAGTGAAACGCGAAGTTGGAGCATTGCGGTCAAATCGTTACTCTGATGAAGTGTTTCGTGTGGCAGCAACGAACAGCTCAAAAAATTCTGTCATGCCAAGCGTACGCGTCTCGCCGTTGGACATAGACAATCCATGATGGCGAGGATCGCGCGATTTGCAGGTGCAAAGACGCAATTGGACGATGTTTCATACATGTTGGTGGTGCGAGAAAGATCTCTCATCTGGAGAAAGAGCGATTGCCGCATTCGAAAAATCGTGTTCTGACCGGTGCGATGGTCAACGCGAATTACATCGAGCCGCAGCGATTTTTAGAAGACATTGACAATGTAATGTTCGAACAAGTGCGAGACGCTATAGAAAGACACGCTAGTGTGAAAGTGAACACCACGTCCAACAACGAGTTTGCGACGAACAACAAATGCGCCATTAAGAGTATAAACATTAAGAATATTGAGATATATCGATGCACCGATTTGCGCGAGTGATACGAGCGGCACGTCATCGAGCTCACATTGACGTCGCTCGAAGAGTTCTAAGAACGCAACAGCGGGTGGGCATTGTCACGTATATTGAATTTGACTATCAACGTGAACAAACTAAATTCTATTATACAGGGTTGGCCATATTCGACGGAAAGATCTGGCAAATCTCTTTGAACCCTATTAAATGATTTTTAAAATGAACAGCAAAAAATGTGTTTTTTTCCCATGATTGAAAAAAAAACATCTTTCCGTCGAATATGGCCAACCCTATATACAGAATGCCACATCTAACTCTCGCGGGAAATATCGACAAAACAAGCGATAATCAATATGCATTTGACGACAATGCATGCTTCGCTTTGTCGGTGATCGCTGCTCTGTACCCGATTGAAAAGTATAAGTACAGAGCCATCGAAGCGAAAGCCATCGTATCCGCATTACATGACAGTGTTAAATCTCACGAACATTATGTTTCTAATGACTTTAAAAGACATTCCAAAATTCGAATGTTTGATAAACGTGTACGGCATCGAGAATAAACAGCCTTCCTCTACAGCTCACCGATGATTGGAAGAAACACGTCAACATGTACGTGGAAGATCCACGCGACGACAGTCTCGGCCACTTTGCGTGGATCAAAAATCTATCACATCTCGTGAGATAATAACTTATCAGAATGGAGCAACAGAAATTTTTCTGCGATCGGTAAGTACACATGAAAAATTATAATTTTCTTCAAATGACAATAATAATAGTGATAGTAATAATTTTTGTTTTTTTTCAGATGTCTTCATTACTTCAATTCGAACGAAAAATTGTAGTCACACATAATAGACTGCGAAAATGACTGCATAGATGACAAGTGGCTCAAATTTAGGAATCATTGCAATAAGGAACGCATCCTATTCATCGTCTATACCGACTTAGAGTGCGTTCTACGAAAGACGGAATCGACAGGAAAGACGCATTGTAGTACACATATCAATGAAATATTGAGATATTTGAGATGTCGATGAGATATTTAGTATAGGATACTACGTGCGATGTTCGTATAACAACACGTTATCAATATATTGGTTTCGTCGCGATAAAAATCGCATTGCGTGGTTTGTGCGAAAACTCCAAGACTTGGCGCATCGCGTGAAAAATCTTGTATTCGCTAACGTGCTCATGGAATCGAAAGAACAATGGGAGACGTATCGTAGCGCGACTCGTTGTCACATTTGCGAGAAACCGTTCGCGCCGGACGACATGTGGGTACGTGATCATTGCCACATCATCGGTAGATACTGTGGTCTAGAGCATTTAAACTGTAACTTATCATTATAATTTCGTCAGGTATATTGTTTACATTTATATGTAAAATATGAATATTACTATTATGTTTTATGTTGTACCATTTATTATGTATTACTATTATTTTTCATTTAATGTATTATTCATTTATGTACGTATTTTATATCTGTATATTTCAAAACAAAGACGGAAGGGATAATAAAAATATTTTATACGTTTGTATACTTATATTGATACATTTGTTTTATCTATACAAAATATATGATTGAAAATTTTGTCAAATGACAAATTGTTTTTATACGTATTTTATATCTCCATGAGATACACGTCCAGATGAATAGCGCGATGCAACTTGTGCTCGCAGAACGCTCCAGCGATGGATTTTCGACGAAGTCCTCAAGTAGATAGGTTATGAGATTGGTACACTGCATCTTAATGATTGTAAATCCTCGGTGGTCCAATTTGGATAACCGGCGTGTAACCCTTCTCAAAAAACAGTATGAATTTCATGCTCACACTACGGGCTGTGCGCTCTCGAACGATTATTTGAAGGCGCGCGAATCTACGAGTTGCGCAGTAGCAAAATGTATCTCGCACTTGTGCCATCCTTTCGACATTCAGGACTTGAATGCCAAGCAGTATATACCGAAGGTCGTAGTGTTAGCGTGTACGGTGACTAAATCGATCGCGTGTGGGAAAAGCTTTCGGAAGACGGATCCGGAAGTTCGAACCTATCGTCGCTGCGACGAGCACAACAATCAACCGTGGCAGTGGATGCACATCGATCCGATACCGAAGGTAAAGGGCTGTAGCGAATGTCAGCGTCGGGCAGTGGTTTGTTAAATTGAGCGATAAACGCGCTTCTTTTCAGGATGCATATCCCAGGCTACCAGTTTTGCGGCCTAGGCACTCGGCTTACAAAGCGATTAGCCAGAGGTGACACGGGCATAAATCCGCCGTTGGACGCGGTGTGCCGAGAACACTACATTGCATTTTCTCGGAGCAACGATCTTACCGATAAACACACGGCGGACAAGGTCTCGCCGATAAAGCGCTAGAATACGTCACTGCGAGAGATTCGGCTCTAAGCGAGAGAGCCGCCGCTGCTGCCGTTTGGAACACAATGAAAGCCAAGACCAATAGTCGAGCATGATCAATCAGTATAAACATGAATCGAAAAAGAAGACGACGAGGAAAAAGACAATGAAAAATCGGACTACTACCGAGGCAAAACGAGGCGGCGTATTACCGTTTCTGTCAATGTTGGGCGCCTTTTGGGTCCTTGATTGGCGTAGTCGCCATCGTGGCGAAAGCGATAAACGATAGCAAAGTCACGCGACGTCAGCTCGAGGAGCTGCAATATCACGATCGAATGGAACAGGGTCGCAAATTGTATCTCACTCCACAGAAATACGGACGCGGATTGTATCTCTTTCTTACAAACGTGAACAAGACGTAGCAGCGAAGAAAAAAAAACATAAAAGAAAAGAGAAAAATGCCCTCGGGCAATTACCAACATGCAGTTGGATGTATGCGCGTACCGTACTTTAGAGGTGTTTTCATGCGTAACGCGTTATCGACGAGCGGCCCGCGCCAAAATGAAAGCAGTATCATGAATCTAAACGATGCGACGGAACTCGATATTCACTGGCATACATGAAGAGGAACAACCACGTTTTACCATTGAGTACTTTGATAATTTCGATAATTCTTCTGCTGCTCAAAGAACAGGTATGATATTTCGGGAACATATTACGACGACAGAATACAATCACACCCATCAGACGTACAATCAGAGCTTCTGTGGATAGACGTGTCTGCGATTTCTACGAACGGTCGATGCGCGTGAATTTAAAAAGCTCAACGAGGTGCCGTGAAATCTCAGTATTGATCGAACGCTTTTTCCGTCATGTCGTTGACACTTACACTGAGCGGAAAGAGCAACCTCCTCGCGGCGAACTACTTCCCCGCGATAGATTTGAATGACGGCGATTACGAGCTTAGCCTGACAATTTTTCAGACTTATCACACGATACCGAATGGAAACAAATCGAACAATAAATTTTATTTCGACAAAGGCGACACAAAAATTATAATTCCCGAGTGTTCGTACGAAGTACGAGACATAAATAAATTTTTGAAACGTGCGATTTTACGGAAATTTTCGCATCGCAACGCGTCTTATACCGATGATGCATCGCACAGCGACAACAACAACAATAACAATGACGACGATGACGAGGATGTGGAATATCCGATAACACTTTGTGCAAATTACAACAAGATGAAATTAGATGCGCCTATAGAATAAACTTTGGCAAGCCCAACAGCATTGAATCGCTGCTGGGATTCTCGTCGAAGCGTATACTGTATTCGTGTCATCTTCGATCACGAAGATGACACAAATTGAACGTGTCGATCAACATAATGAACGTAAACGTTATTCGCGTAGAGTGTAACGTGACCACGGATGTGTAGCAATGGCAAAGGTGCGCACACGATACACGAATTTTTGCCGAGCGTACCGCCGGTATATAAGAAAAGGCCTGCTCAGATTATTTATGTGCCAATCACCGCACGGAGCATTATGGATTTAACGATACGCATCGTCGACGATTGTTCAATTTTCACGGAGAAGAGATCACCATCAGATTGCACGTGCGACAGCAGCAATGATAACGCAGGCGTGAGATGCTCGTATTGAACGAACGAATAGAGCGCACACAGAGAGATAACGAACACTCTTCACAAGGCCAGTGACATTGCCGCTCGGTAACATTCGCTTTCCAACCGCATCACCAAGAAAAAACTCAGCGCGTCGAACATTAAATTTTTACAGTCTTTGGGATTCGCAGTGCGCAATTTTTGATATGATTGATATCTTGAATATTACCGATAAGCTGACGATCGCATCGTCAAGATTGAGACTCACACGTACAAGCCGTTCGTCAATACAATATTCGAATACAGCGATGAGATAAGGATACCCATACAGCAACAGGAAAGTTTTCTCTACGTCGAAGAAGATTGATGGTGAAAGAAAAAACGATCAAATGACAACGATGTTTGTAAATAATTGCGTAGCGTTCATGTTTATGAAATTCGATATGAACTCAACGGTGTGGAAATTGACCGCAACAGAAACGTTGGCATGACTAGCTCAAGAATTCCGCATTGATAACATACAACAAAGCTTTGATTGTGCTGAACGCTGAATGGAACTCTAGATCCGAGGACTTTTGCGTACCGCTTAGCATGCTCTTAGACTTTTGCGAAGATTACAAATGTATGATCGTCAATGCTCGTCACGAATTGATTTTGATACGAGCGCGCAAAGATTACTTGGTGGTCCTGTAACGGAATCTGAGGTTAAATTATTTAAAGTACAATGGTGGATGCCTCACGTTGCATTAAACGAGATTAATAAATTATAAATGCTGCATTGGAAAGCGATCGTTATTTGAATATGAGTTTTCGCTCGTGGGATCTGTATAAGCATCCTCTGTTACAGAATATCAAGCATTCATGGGCTATCAAAAAGGCGACTCAACTTGAGAAACCGCGATACGTTATCTTTGCTCTGCAAATCGGAAAGAATATCATATCACGAGATGTTAGCGTATTCGACGATTGTAATTAGAATAACATGATTAGAATAACTTTATCTAAATTAAGCGTTTTATCTGTACAATGGATTTAAATCTGGATTTTGACAAACAGAGATGCGCCGTTTGATATGTATGCGCGTTTTTGTAGAGTATGTTATAGAATCGATTACTTCAAAGCGCTATTCAATGTGCTCTCTTATTTACCGAGAAAGGGCCTTTTGTGGTCATTGATTGCTCGCGACAAAACGAATCAAGAGTGCCACTGTAGACGTACGCATAGAATTTAACTACAAGGAGAATGTGCCCGCAAATACAACAGTCTATTTTCTCATCATACACGATCGCGTGGCTTAGTATAATCCGTTGACCAACGTAGTGTGTAAGATCATCGTAAATTGCAACATCAACATTTTTTAGAACTTTAAAGAGAGAGAAAAAACTGGAGTGAGACGCAGTCTCAAAAAATTACTTGTGATCAATACTGACTTTTGTTGATCTGCAAGGATTCATCGTTAACAAGAAGTTATCGTGAAGGAAACAGCGATGCTGAAACAGGGGACCGTTCTCACGAATTACATTTTTACGAATTCCGTGCCATGGAAATTTTTGACAAGATCTGACAGGTCTTGCGCTTCTTAACTTAACACCATGGGAGGACGGGAGGATTCCGTAGAGTGAGGCGAAACGTCTGATTACGGCGGTTGTATTTGAAGATGATGCTATCGTATATGTCAAGGGACGCGTGAAACAAATGTAGTTTCAAAGAACTTGCTTCTGGACGATGAGCGAGAGAACGCATGTACATCAAGATCTTGGATGCAGTTTATGAAGCATGAAATCTTTATCTAATTTAGATGTTATTAATACTATGCGGACAACATGTTAAGAATTGCGCGTTACAAAATATATTGAAAATATGTAATTGGTGGTTGCAAAAAAAATTTTTTTTTTTAAAGTACGTTAACATATTTATTATTTCTTTTTCCTTTCCTTCGTAATACATATATGTATATACATATGTATTGTATGTATGTATGTATGTATGTATATATGTATGTATGTATGTATGTATATATGTATGTATGTATGTATGTATATATGTATGTATGTATGTATGTATATATGTATGTATGTATGTATGTATGTATGTATGTATGTATGTATGTATAAACTCGTGACAAAGAAAATACGTAGAAAAACGCGATAAAACGTGTTACAACACATTCGAAATTCTTGGAAAAAGGGAGATGGCCCGCCTCTTCTTTGATTTCAAAAGTATTCATGTACGTCACAATTTACGCGGATGCGATCAGTCTTGCGATACTTGCTTATACGAACGGTTGACAAAAAATGTATTTTATCAAAAGAAAGCAGTGCATCGAACGACGTGAAGAAGGAATATAATGTATAAGTTTTAATGTTCTATAAGGAGTATGACTTTGCTCATGCGGTTTTTTTCCGAAATTCGAGGCTTTATTGTAAAAAACTGGTTATACATTTATTTATTCAAAGTATTGTCCATCGCTGACCACTACTTTTTCCCATCTTTCGGGCAGCATACGAATCCCGCGTCGAAAAAACTGGTCATCTTTTGAGGCGATCCACGAATCGATCCAATTTTTTACTTCTTCATGAGACCGGAAGTGCTGGTCAGTCAGGTCGTATGCCAGCCATGTGCCATTGATCGAAACAAGTGATAGTCAGAGGGAGCAACGTCTGGAGAATACGGCGGGTGGGGTAGGACTTCCCATTTCAACGTTTCCAAGTCTTAACCACTTTCGCAACATGGGGCATTGTCGAGCATTATCATGCTGCAAAATCACTTTATCGTGTCTCTCGTTGTATTGCGGCCGTTTGTCTTTCAATGCTCGGCTCAAACGCATCAATTGCGTTCGATACTGATCGCCTGTGATTGTTTCAGTCGGTTTTAACAGCTCATAATAAACTACGCCGAGCTTGGTCCCACCAAATACAGAGCATGATCTTGGAGCCGTGAATATTCGGTTTGGCCGTCGACGTGGAAGCATGGCTGGGAATTCCCCATGATTTTCTGCGCTCGGGATTATCGTAATGAACCCATTTTTCGTCCCCAGTCACAATGCGATGCAGAAA